CGGCGGGCGCTCCGGGCGGCGCGCTGTGGCCCACCTGCAGCATCTCCAGCATCAGGTTGCAGGCCGCCTGCCTGACCTCCTGGCGGTTGTCGCTGAGGCGCTCCACCTGCGGCCGGCCGCGCAGAAGAATGCATTTGCACGCCCTCACCTTGCGTGGCCATGCGGCGCAGCGCTGCGCCAGCTGCGGATGCGCTCTGGATCCGCACAGATGCATGTGCTGTGCCAAAAACCATCTCGATCTGCGGCACCGCGCGGCTCACCACAAATGGGAGGAGGTTGTTGAGGAACGGCTTGACAGCGTCCCCCTGGTTCAACACGAGCGCCTCCCACACCTGGAGCGCCTTGAGCGCCACCTGCGCTCGAGCAGTGGCCGCACGGGCGCGTGCAGGTGTCTGGCACGCCTGTTGGGGTCCGGCAGGCTCCCACATCGCTGCACGCCGCAGAACAGGGCGAGACGACGCCACAGCAACGGCGGTCGCGCAATCCACACCTTGTGGTTGTTGTCGCCCAGCAGCTGGCCCGACGTGTCCAGCAGCGCGCTGAGCTGCTCCCTTGTGAGGGGATTTTCTTTGACATACTCCTGTGGTAGGTGTGATGCGCAAGGCAGGCTCATCACCGCCGCTTGGCCGCGTAAAAGCGGAGTGCTGCATGCTGTGCCTTGCAGCTGCAGCGCTCCTGCGCCGCCCCGCTCTGCCCAAGGGCCGCACCTGCATCTGATCCAGACCATTCATCCGTTGCTTTGTGGCTTGCTGGAGCAGGGTGAACACCCGCGTCCAGGCGTCCATGCTGTGTTGTTGCGGGGAGTCTGCCAGCTTGATCCGTTAGCAGTGCTCCTTGTAGGTCCCCTTATCAACAGTCATGTGTTGTGTCAATATCATTCGCGGTCGGTCAGAGTGCAACTGTCGTGTACATTCGTGATCTCACAAGTGTTTGATTGCGGAGCACGCTATACCCGATACAGGGTTTGAATGGGTTTATATGCGTGCCACTTTTGTCACGAGAGCGCCGTTGTCTAATCTGCAGCTCGCGGGCGCATTTCGTACTGTGCAGGTTCTGCTCAGCTGCCCTCGGCGCCGGCATGCGACCGCAGCACTGTCCTGCAAATATGGCGGAAGTTCCTGGTTCCTCCCCATGGCCATCGGCGTTTGCAGACGCATGGTGACAGACCTGCAAGAAAAGGTGGCGCGCAGACAATTGACCAGAGGCCAACCTGCAGGTGGCCTGCTCATTGTGGTTGGCACCAGGGCTGGCTGGCACACCCAAGAATGTGCCATCCTGCCCTTTGCTATCCACACTGGCTGCACCGCAGATCCAGGAAGGCACGATACTGCGTTCCGCCACCCTGGCGAGGGTTGAGAGGCCCAGCTTGCCACGCCCTATTACTGCCTGCGCGTACTACAGAGGGCCGGCTTGCCATGTTACTCGCTGCGAGTGTACCAAAGCAAAAAGCAGTAGCGGTGCAACGACGTCAGCCGCCGGTGCGGCTGGGCTCGCGTGAAACGCCTGCCCCTGGAAGCGAGGCACGCAAGACAGCGTGCGCGCGGCGCCCCAAAACATGGCAGCGGGCTTATCGGATGGTGCGGGTGCATCACACTTGGATTCTTGCGGTGGACCGCGGGCGGCGCCCTTGGCAAGGTACTAGCCTCAGGGCCGAGCCGCTGGGGCCAAAATATCCCAAAGTGCGTCAGTGAATGCCTCGGAATGCAAATTCGAACGGGCCAAGACAGGCGCGGCCATGCTGGGATGGCGCGTGGCCACGGGCCGCCTCGCGCGCGCAGCGGCGGCGGCTGCCGCCAAAGCTGGCGCGCGTGCCGCGCGTTCTAGGCCTGGGGCTGCGCTGCGGCGTGGGCCGGCGGAGAACAGCCGCCGCCAAGCATTGGCCGTGGCGCCTCAACGTCAGCTGCCGCGCGGCTCGCGCCTCTTGAGCGCGGCACTGCCGACGCTGTCAGCCCTTCTGCGCACGCGCGGGGCGAAGCAGCGCTGCGCGGCGTGCGCGCGTCGGCCCAAGAGCCCGCGGTCGTTCCTCCGCTCAGAAGAAGAACATGGACCGCCTCTTGCCGGCGGGCTTGGCGGCCGGCGACGCCGCTGCGGGCTTGGCGGCCGCGGGCTTGGCCGCGGGCGAGGCCGCGGCGCCCTTGGCCGGCGCGGCCCCCTTGGGCGCAGCGGGGCGCAGCTCGTCCTTGGGCTGGGTGACAGTGAGCAGGCTGCCGGTGCTGCCCGGGGGCGCGACGTACTCCTTGCACTTGAGCTCGGGCTGCTTCTTGCCGTACACACCGATGTCGGCGGGGGTGACACCCAGGCCCTTGTAGGCGTCGAAGAAGGCGCGGGCAGCCTTCAGGTCCACGTCCTCGACCACAGGCACGCCTGCAGGGGCAGGAGGCAGGGCAAGGACGCGGGGCGGATTCAGACGGCGCGTGTGGGGGACTGCGGCCGCGAGGGGGAGTGCGCGGCCTCGTGCACAGGGCGCGGGGCAGGGCGGCAGCGAGCGGCGAGCGCGCAGGTGTCTGTGTTACGGGGGCAGTGGGGCAGGGCCGTTGCCCGGCCAGCGCCGCGCACCAGGGAACAGCCAGAAGTCGAGCGCCTGGCCGGAGCGGTTGCTGGCCTTGGCGACCAGGGGGGCGATGGTGCGGTAGAAGGTGAAGGCCTCGACCTGGTGCTCCGAGGCCGAGTCCTTGGCGACGGCCGCCTTGGACTGCAGGTCGAGCCACATCTCGTGGGCGTACGAGATGACGGCCTGCACAGGGTCGCCGCG